GGTCCGGTTAATTCAGGCCTTATGACCTGCTTCATGTCCATTGCCATATCATATCTGACAGCTTTGTCATATAAACCAACTCCCAAAGACTCAAAGTACAATGCATAATTGGTCAGTGTCGACCGCCCTGCCAAATAGATAAATTTTAAAAATAATGAACACATTCCAGAGAGGATATTAATGAAAACATACTGTCAGAGCCTGGCAACAAAGTTCAACACTTGAATCAGCCATTGACTAGGTTGTGTAGACTCAACGATTGTTTTGTGTAAATACTTTATGCTTCTGTATCGTAGATTTGATATGCAGCATTGAACTACAATGAACGCAAGAATTTAGGATGACAAGGTGTCACATGCCGACTCTTTCGAATGCACAGCAGAATATATCTTTGCCAGTGATGCGCTCGAACTCCAACTTAGTCCAAGCCTGCCTAATTCTTTCAACCATCAAACATCAAGTGTTGAATTTTCACCCCACCCAGGCATATGTAGGCCCAATCCTTTGTCAAGTCCTGCACTTCAAATGCTGCCTTAAGAGCAAGAGCAAGGCGCTTGCCCCATTGAAGCGTCCAATATCGCCAAGACGCCTCTTGCCACACAGCTGCACACCTTAATGTTATCAGCAGTGTTGCCCACAACTGGGCCACTTAAGGTTCCCAACTGTGTGCTAGCATAAGCCCTCGACCTAGCTAACAAGCTTCCAACGCATGTTAGGATCTCTTGTTGCACACATCTCGAATAGTCACGAGGCTCTCCTGTACCCCACACATGACTATGGGTCAGTTGCGCACCCACAACATAGTCCTCATGCACGCTTGACATGCTAACCGTCTACCAAGGGCCATTGCGCACCCAAGGCGTTGCACTAACGTGCTGCACGAGAAAGGCAACATTGGTACGTAGCCCACAAGTAGCATTACACCTTCCCACAAGCTTAGCACAAGGTGCCTCGCATGACATAGAGCTTCATGCCTTTCAAATATTCCCATGAGTAGTGGCGTTGCCATCGAACAACTTACTTTAAGCCACGAGACCCCCATGAGCATGGCCAAATCCAAGCGTATGTCGTGACTCGTGATTTGGCACACAAGGCTTTGGTGGCACCTCAATAGCCCATTCCGTCAAGGATGACAACCCAAGATGCTACAATAACGGGTGCAACTCCCAAATCTTGCGCCAAGGAGGTGCGCGCAATGTCGGCACACATGCCCCTTGATGATACTGTCCACGGGGCTTCCAAAACCGTATGGAGACCAAAGACGCCGCTCTGGATGCCAAAGGCCGGCCCCCAAGTTGCCTTGAGGTTGCCCACTTCGAATAAGGAGACAAGTAGAAGCACACCTTACACCCTTATAATAGAATTTTGAGTCATTTGCTGACTAAGAAAAGGAAACACCACTCTTGTTTGAGTCGTCATAAAGATTTTTCACAATTTTAAATTATAGAAACTACATAACTCCATGAATTCCCAAGAAAAATCTTAACTCAGAACTCCATTGTTTGACCCCCAAAACCCTATGCCGAAGGTTTAGCCACAATTGCCCACCGAATCGCCTGACATGCACCACATACAGATTGGGTGGGCACGCACAGTGCTCGGCATGCAACTCGACATGCACACATTGGAATACTTGGGGCCTATGAAGCACCGACACTTCAAAATGAATGTCGTAGGGGTGTTGGACACGAGGACACGTATGGGGCACGCGGCATGTCACGTTATTTAATTAATTTGCTTTTAGGAGACACGCGGGGAACACTCAAGGAAACACCAACTAGTTCCCCTTTTTCCCCCACCCTTTTCTTAACTTTTTTGAAAAATAATCAACCTCATCCAAACAAGAGAACTGAAAACGTTCTTGAAGGTGCACCGTAAGATTCATTAACACCTGATGCATAAAAATTTTGATCCTGGATTATTAGAGTTACTACAAACGAATTAAGACATCCAAAGAAGACCCTGAAAGTATGGGGTTAAGGTGGCAAGTGTCAGTACAAGCTACACCCAAATAATTCACGAATTCCACTGAACCCCACTTCTGCATCCATCCCCCCCCCCCCCCTCCCAACCAAAAAAAAAAAAACTTGTACTTAAACAAGTGTTCTTAGCTCGAGGAGCTGACCATACTTCTCAAGTGTTCGAAGATACTTGTCATAGATGAGAAAATGAAGTCGATGACCAGAAGAACTAGTCAGTCCATCAAAAAGATTGTGGACAGTGATTATATCTGCAATAAAAGCACAGGCAGGAGCTATCCGTGCAAAAGCCTCAGTCCCAACAGTCTTCTTGCTATCAACCTGATGAAAAGTGAAATGAATGAGCACACAAGACCGACATAACAGACTGCTAAGGATTTGCCCTAAACCAACTTACCCAAAAGAAAGAGCTACCCTACACCAAATATTACCGTCAGTGAAAAAAGGCCCTATATTTTTAAAGTAATAAAATAAAAATGAGAAGACCACCTGAACAGCTATTTTTGTGGAACTAGAATAAAATAATGACCACTCATCCTCATCCTCCACTTCCTGGTTACTGCAAGAAGCAGTTTCCTGTCATTTGGAAAAGTTAAGGCTGCATTTACAATCCAGAAAAGAAAAAACATTTTCATTCCATACTCTAAAATTCCTGACAAACAATCAAGAAAAGGCACCACTAACAATATGAAACATTAAAAGTTCGCCAAAATATCCAGAGAAAATATGATAGCTATCTTACTGTGTCTGGTGTCTCATTCTTGACACCAGGGGCCTCCCAAGCAAGCATCATGTCAAAGGTTAAACAACGGAACTCCTTGTCACTTAAATAATCTGGATGTGCAGTCACCAGATTGAGTGCTTGGTAAGAACAGAATCCTAAAAAATTCCTGGTATAGGTTGAAGGTTGCTTAACAGCATCAGGTAGCTCTGTCTCAAAACGATGCTGTAATTCTTCAGTAAGGATTAGAAGAATCCTGCAATTGCATTAAATATGCGTTCGGCAAGAAAAATCAATAAAGGGATAATTTCTTGCAACTGTAAAATTTCCTTATTTGTAACCAAAATTTAAACTATTTCTTAGCATCTAGATATTCCTTTGACAGATGGTCAAATGGGAAACATTATTTCCCGATAGCTGGAGAGAAGCATATGAGAAAGATAAGGGTTGTGAGTCTCTTACAATTCACGATACGTCACTTACGATTTGATATGTTTAAAGGAAAATCAATACATATCACCAATATGGGTCTTGGTTTAAATATATCTCACGATACATGTGACATGACCTACTACATATTATACATGAATACTTGAATTTTTTTTTAACATTATTTGAAGAAAAAAAAAAAAGTAGCAGAACTTATTTTGTGAAAGTCAATATTATTAGAAAGGTTAATTAAATTATTAAAAATATATATTGTTAAAATAAAAAAGATACTTTTTCTTTTGCTTTGTCTAACATTTCTACAAATATCTACTCGTTTGGTATTATCTTATGATAATGATTAATACCTGAAGTAAAGCTTAAAGTTTTCTATTATAGATAAACTATTTGAAAACATAAATGTTGTAAATTAAAAATTAAAGAGTTAATTACACAGGCACCCACTCAACTATCACTGAATATTAATTTACCCCCTAAACTTTAAAACTATATATTTAGAACCCTCATCTATAAAAATATATATATCTATCTATCTATCTATACTATTATAAAGTGAACACCTCTTATGGTGTCCTGAAGCTTTACTCTCCTCATGTCATGTGGCAGTATTTTTTATTTTTTAAAAAAAAGTTAAACAAAGAGATGGGCAAGGCTTGAACCCATGACCATGGGTTTAAGTACGAGGACTCATACCACTTAAGCTAAGTACACATTATAATATTAATTTCATTATTATTTTTTTTTATTCTTACTTATTTAAATTGCACACACATCGTGTGTGCCACCCACTAGTATATATATATACGTACAAATAACCCTCCCTTCCAGAGGGGGTGAAAGTGATGCAATTGTGTACTAAGGGATCCAAATGTACGATTTTGAAGTTGAGGGGGGAAAGTGATAGTTGATGACGTGTCTATGTGATTAACCCAAAATTTTAAAACATCACTGATGATTTAAGACGATACGAAAAATATATTATACAATTACCAAGAATGAGAAAAATTTTGGGAGTAAATTTGATTCAAGGACATAATAATGTACTATAGTGCTATATCTTTTTTTATACTTATTTTTATCTCCGCTCTGCATTTTTATGTATGAAGTATTGATGCATGCATATCTTTAATTCTAGGAACCTTGCTTTTGTAACGTTGATGATTATACATTGTTTAATGTTGTTCTTGCAAGATATTTGTTTTCTATAAAAATATTTATTTTTCTACCTATTTTAAAAGATGCTAAAAAATCTTAAGATGCATTATTCAAAAAGATACCAAAACGATTCACAATTCCTATCAATTGACAACTATAGAAAAGACATTATACTCCACTAAGAAGCATGGACACGGACACGTGACACGACACGAGTACGACACGGGCACGCCGACACGTTAATTTTCAAAAAATGCAGGACACGACACAAGGAGGACACGCATGAAATACATAATTTTATATATTTATTATATGTTATATATATATGAATATATCATTCAAAGATAATAAAAAATGCAATATGACACTAATTCTTATAAATTTATATGATTTTTATTTTATTATTGTATCTTAAGTTATTTTGTTCAAACTTATAATTAGTTTTACGTATGTCTAATCGTTAGACACGTGTGTTTAAACGATTGACACGTGTGTCCTTCAAGTGTCCAAAGAGTGTCCAAGTCTTTAAACAATAGGACATGTTTTGAAGAGTGTCGAACACTTGTCCTGAGAGTGTCCAAAGAGTGTCTGTGTCCGACACGTACCCGACACGGATACGTCACCTTCCTAGAAGTGTCCGTGCTTCTTAGATACTCCATCAAGATCCATTTATTATAATTTTGATGTAAGTATGTAATTACAAGGAATTGAATAGCAACAAGAAGAAGAAAGATCCTTGAAATTCCAGTGACAAAACAAACAAACAAAAAATGCATTCCAAAATGAAAGCATTAATATGATTAAAAGATTGCCCCATGTCAATTGGTACCTATTTCCTGTGCCTGCAGAACTATAAGGTAGAAGGAATATGCAATCCATCAATTCCGCTAAATAAATATGAATATGCTTTAGAAGATAAAGTACACCTCAAGAGCTTTGCTATTGAAACCAACCAAACAAACAAATAAATAGATTTTTCATATGGCATGCATATTTGGCATTAAAATCACGAGGAATTACATATGTTGTACCACATCATAAGATATTGACACATAACCCCCCGCAGCCCCTCACCTTGCGGTCCTGAACCCCCCGCAACTCTCTCTCTCTCTCTCTCTCTCTCTCTCTCTCTCTCTCGTGCACGCATGCACACACTCGCAACTCATTTCTCTGTTGTGACTAGGGTTTCGCATGGGATGGGAGCCACCGAAGGAGTCGCATGGTGGCGATTTAGGGTTGTGACGTGATGAGAAGATAGTAGAGAAGGGTTACGGGTTGGGAAGGGGTTGGGGGGTGGCGGGTGTGAAGCAAAGTCCCAAATCACCCAAGTACTAAAATAATATTAAACATATAAGCATGAGGGCACCCTCACCTTTTGAGCTAGCTTTTGGGGTTGAGTTCTACCCAAGACCATGTAACATGGTATCAGAGATGAAGTACTTCGGGATGGATAGGGTGAGTGTCCTTGGCCTGCACGCCGCAGGAGCTGCCGAGCGAGCACGCTGGGAGTGGGGGAGGGTGAGAAGTGAAGTCCCACATCGCCCAAGTACTAAAATAATATTAAGCATATAAGTGTGTGGACACCCTCACCTCTTGAGCTGGCTTTTGGGGTTGAGTTCTACCCAAGACCGTGTAACAGCGAGAGAGGAAGGAGAGGATGGAAATAGGGTTTTTTGAGAAGGGAGGGAGGGTAGCAAATGGGTATGCCGAAAGTAAGGGATGACAGGGCAGTTTGGCCAAGGAGGGTGGAGGGGTTTGCCGAAGAAGCTGATTCAAAATTTCCAAGCCACACTGATTCACTAATACCATGTGCTGCAGGCCTAATTTGAGCCCATGTTGTCCCCATTGATTTTTATTTTTATTTTTTTGTTGGAAGGGGGGAGAGGAGTCTATTGCTAGCATTATTTCACTGACACACAAAGCTATGAGGGTGGATTGTATACAAACCTAACATTTGGCATTATTGCAAAAAGTGGTTGCCTTCGAACTCAAACTCACACCATCACATTCACAACCCAAGCAACTTGCACTTGTTGGACCTAGCAGAAAGTGGCATTATTTGTTCAGTCCACACGAAGCTACAGACAAACTGGTCCTACTCTATGACACAAGGATCCTACCAACAAGTCTATGATAGCCAAAAGTAGTCTGCTGCCTAACACCAATCCAACCCACTAAAAATAAATATATGTATAGATAGATATTTATGATAGATGATGCATTCCAGCTCAATATTCACTAATCCATGCTTTTATATCAAATAATCATGATTTGGGAATAGTAAACATCATCAATGCCATTATCTCAAATATAAACTCAAGATGTAAAAACATGTGGTGCATGCATCAATTGTCTCTCAAGAAATCTAGCATACACAATGTCTAGTGGAGAAACAATAACAATATCAACTTTCCAACTTATTTGTAGCAATCTTGAAGATATTAAACATCCTAATGTACCGAGTCTAATTACTGCAGCGTACTTACTAACTAGATTGGCTGACATGAATATCAAATTTAATAGACTTATGAGGTGACATTACATAAACACGTCGCAAATATTTCATAAATTTGTGGTGCCATACGTAAATACATTTAAAGTATATAAATATGACATATAGTTTCTAAAAAAATTAAACCAAATATAATCTTAAGAAGGACCACTATCCAATTTCAGTTCACTAGGCGAAGAAGGGGGCATCATCAAATCATCTAACACACCCAGACTCTGTTGAGTTATCCTTAAAATTTAGGATTAGATTTTGGGACTTGGAGCACTTCTAGCACTAATCGATATTTTGCCTAACAAAAGTACATAAAATAAAATAAAATAAATAGTACATTTTGTATTTTGCCTAACCACTTTGCCTAGTGTGTACTCCAACAACATTCTCTGCTACTAAAATTGGTTTGCCTAGTCTCCAAGGCTCTCCAAATGTAGTTAGCCAAGAAAGAATGAGGCAAAATGCCTACCATGTTGCCCATCCTGTTGGAGTTTCATTTTGTGATGAGGCTAGACAAAAATCCCGGACTCTGTGTTTGGTTTAGCGATTTGGGAAGAGATTTAGAAAGGAAAATAAAAAAGGTATGTGAAATGTGAATAAAATATACTTATATTTCACCTAGTTTCACACACCTTTTTTTTTCCCTTTCTAAATTCCTTCCCAAATCACTCAACCAAACACAGCGTAAAATGCTCTAAATGCTTCTCCTGATG